CAAACGCGCTGAAAGAGGGCTTAAAGACGCAAAACGGCAGCGCGTAAGTCTCACAATCCTAAGGCCGTGAGTTCGCGCCTCACAGGTCGCAAATCGAGAAAAACTTTTTCCTTTGCTTTTTAATCGAATTATGAAACATCAAAAATCAAGAAAAAAATTACAAGCAAAATTTATAATCAAATAACGCGTTCAGTACCAAAATGGTTGTTGTTAGTTCAATCAAAAATCAACCCCTCAATAATATCAGATTTTCCCGCAGTCGCCCAAAAAGAGGGTGACAAAAGCAAGAGATGTTGAAATGGAAACAGTTCATTTGAGTGTTTTTTAATTTTGGGAAGAGAACTAAATTTTTGTGCGATCAACGAAAGGATAGGAACAGACACGAAAAAGGTCAAAGAACTAACATACAAGGAACGCGAACATGGCGCAGTCGGCAGCGCGAAAGTCTCATAATCTTAAAGTCGTGAGTTCGAGCCTCAATTGTCGCAGTTCAAGAAGAATAATTTTACTTGCTTTATATCCAAATATAAAATTTTACAAAAAAAAAGAAAAATTACAAACAAAAAGTATAAACAACTGAAGCTTTTAGAACCGATATAAATGTTGTTAGTTTAATAAGGAATCGTTTCTTTAAAATTATCGGTTTGTCGAGCAAACGCGCTAGAAGAGGGCTTAATAACGCAAAACGGCAGCGCGTAAGTCTCATAATCATAAGGCCGTGAGTTCGCGCCTAACAGGTTGCAAATCAAGAAAAACTTTTTCCTTTGCTTTTTTTAATCGAATTATGAAATATCAAAAACCAAGAAAAAAAACAAGCAAAATTTATCATCAACCAACGCGTTCAGAACCAAATTGGTTGTTGTTAGTTCAATTAAAAATCAACCCATTAAAAATATCAAATTTTTCCGCAATCGCGCAAAAAGAGGGTGACAAATGCAAGAGATGTTCACATGAAAACAGTTCATTTGAAAGTTTTTAACTTTGGAAAGAAAACTAAATTTTTGTGTGATCACCGAAATAATGGTAACAGACACAGAAAACAGTCGAAGAACCAACAACCTTCGCACGCGACCATGGCGCAGTCGGCAGCGCGTAAGTCTCATAACCTTAAGGTCGTGAGTTCGAGCCTCACTGGTAGCAGCTCAAGAAGAATAATTTTACCTGTTTTATATCCAACAATACAATTTTACAAGAAAAAAGAAAAACTACAAACAAAAAGTATAACCAACTAAAGCTTTTAGAACCGAAATAAATGTTGTTAGTTTAATAAAATCAATCCATAAAAAATATCAGATTGTACCGCAGTCGCGCAAAAAGAGGGTGACAAATGCAAGAGATGTTCACATGAAAACTGTTCATTTTAGTGTTTTTAGTTTTGGAAAGAAAACTAAATTTTTGTGTGATAACCGAAATAATGGTAACAGACACACAAAATAGTAGAAGAACCAACAATCAACTCACGCGACCATGGCGCAGTCGGCAGCGCGTAAGTCTCATAATCTTAAGGTCGCGAGTTCGAGCGTCACTGGTCGCAGTTCAAGAAGAAAAATGTTTTATTGCTTTATAACCAACTATACAATTTTATAAAAAAAAAAGAAAAATTACAAACAAAAAGTATAACCAACTAAAGCTTTTAGAACCGAAATAAATGTTGTTAGTTTAATAAAATCAATCTATAAAAAATATCAGATTGTACCGCAGTCGCGCAAAAAGAGGGTGACAAATGCAAGAGATGTTCACATGAAAACTGTTCATTTTAGTGTTTTTAGTTTTGGAAAGAAAACTAAATTTTTGTGTGATAACCGAAATAATGGTAACAGACACACAAAATAGTAGAAGAACCAACAATCAACTCACGCGACCATGGCGCAGTCGGCAGCGCGTAAGTCTCATAATCTTAAGGTCGCGAGTTCGAGCGTCACTGGTCGCAGTTCAAGAAGAAAAATGTTTTATTGCTTTATAACCAACTATACAATTTTATAAAAAAAAAAGAAAAATTACAAACAAAAAGTATAACCAACTAAAGCTTTTAGAACCGAAATAAATGTTGTTAGTTTAATAAAATCAATCTATAAAAAATATCAGATTGTACCGCAGTCGTGCAAAAACAGGGTGACAAATGCAAGAGATGTTCACATGAAAACAGTTCATTTGAGTGTTTTTAGTTTTGGAAAGAAAACAAAATTTTTGTGTGATCACCGAAATAATGGTAACAGACACACAAAATAGTAGAAGAACCAACAATCAACTCACGCGACCATGGCGCAGTCGGCAGCGCGTAAGTCTCATAATCTTAAGGTCGCGAGTTCGAGCGTCACTGGTCGCAGTTCAAGAAGAAAAATGTTTTATTGCTTTATAACCAACTATACAATTTTATAAAAAAAAAAGAAAAATTACAAACAAAAAGTATAACCAACTAAAGCTTTTAGAACCGAAATAAATGTTGTTAGTTTAATAAAATCAATCTATAAAAAATATCAGATTGTACCGCAGTCGTGCAAAAACAGGGTGACAAATGCAAGAGATGTTCACATGAAAACAGTTCATTTGAGTGTTTTTAGTTTTGGAAAGAAAACAAAATTTTTGTGTGATCACCGAAATAATGGTAACAGACACACAAAAGAGAAGAAGAAACAACAACCAACGCACGCGACCATGGCGCAGTCGGCAGCGCGTAAGTCTCATAATCTTAAGGTCGCGAGTTCGAGCGTCACTGGTCGCAGTTCAAGAAGAAAAATGTTTTATTGCTTTATAACCAACTATACAATTTTATAAAAAAAAAAGAAAAATTACAAACAAAAAGTATAACCAACTAAAGCTTTTAGAACCGAAATAAATGTTGTTAGTTTAATAAAATCAATCTATAAAAAATATCAGATTGTACCGCAGTCGCGCAAAAAGAGGGTGCCAAATGCAAGAGATGTTCACATGAAAACAGTTCTTTTGAGTGTTTTTAGTTTTGGAAAGAAAACAAAATTTTTGTGTGATCACCGAAATAATGGTAACAGACACACAAAAGTGTCGAAGAACAATCAGACAATGCATGCGACCATGGCGCAGTCCGCAGCGCGTAAGTCTCATAATCTTAAGGTCGTGAGTTCGAGCCTCACTGGTCGCAGTTAAAGAAGAATAATTTTACTTGCTTTATATCCAACTATACAATTTTACAAAAAAAAAATTACTAACAAAAAGTATAACCAACTGAAGCTTTTAGAACCGAAATATATGTTGTTAGTTTATTAAAATCAATCTATAAAAAATATCAGAATGTACCTCAGTGGCGCAAAAGAGGGTGTCAAATGAAAGAGATGTTCACATGAAACCAGTTCATTTGAGTGTTTTTAGTTATGGAAAGAAAACAAAATTTTTGTGTGATCACCGAAATAATGGTAACAGACACAAAAAGTGTCGAAGAACCAACATAGAACGCATGCGACCATGGCGCAATCGGCAGCGCGTAAGTCTCATAATCTAAAGGTCGTGAGTTCGAGCCTCACTGTTCGCAGTTCAAGAAGAAAAATTTTAGTTGCTTTATATCCAACTATACAATTTTATTTAAAAAAAGAAAAATTACAAACAAAAAGTATAACCAACTAAAGCTTTTAGAACCGAAATAAATGTTGTTAGTTAAATAAAATCAATCTATAAAAAATATCAGAGTGCACCGCAGTCGCGCAAAAAGAGGGTGCCAAATGCAAGAGATGTTCACATGAAAACAGTTAATTTGAGTGTTTTTAGTTTTGGAAAGAAAACATAATTTTTGTGTGATCAACGAAAAAATAGTAACAGACACACAAAAGTGTCGAAGAACCAACAGACAACGCATGCGACCATGGAGCAGTCGGCAGCGCGTAAATCTCATAATCTTAAGGTCGTGAGTTCGAGCCTCACTGGTCGCAGTTCCAGAAGAAAAAGTTTACTTGCTTTATATCCAACTATACAATATTATAAAAAAAAAAGAAAAACTACAAACAAAAAGTATAACCAGCTAAAGCTTTTAGAACCAAAATAAATGTTGTTAGTTTAATAAAATCAATCCACAAAAAATATCAGATTGTACCGCAGTCGCGCAAAAAGAGGGTGCCAAATGCAAGAGATGATCACATGAAAACAGTTCATTTGAGTGGTTTTAGTTTTGGAAAAAAAACAAACTTTTTGTGTGATCACCTAAATAATGGTAACAGACACACAAAAGTGTCGAAGAACCAACAGACAACGCATGCGACCATGGAGCAGTCGGCAGCGCGTAAATCTCATAATCTTAAGGTCGTGAGTTCGAGCCTCCCTGGTCGCAGTTCAAGAAGAATAAATTTACTTGATTTATATCCAACTATACAATTTTACAAAAAAAAATTACTAACAAAAAGTATAACCAACTGAAGCTTTTAGAACCGAAATAAATTTTGTTAGTTTATTAAAATCAATCTATAAAAAATATCAGAATGTACCTCAGTGGCGCAAAAGAGGGTGACAAATGCAAGAGATGTTCACATGAAACCAGTTCATTTGAGTGTTTTTAGTTTTGGAAAGAAAACAAATTTTTGTGTGATCACCGAAATAATGGTAACAGACACAAAAAAGGGTCGAAGAACCAACAGACAACGCATGCGAACATGGCGCAGTCAGCAGCGCGTAAGTCTCATAATCTTAAGGTCGTGAGTTCGAGCCTCACTGGTCGCAGTTGAAGAAAAAAAATTTTACTTGCTTTATATCCAACTATACAATTTTATTTAAAAAAAGAAAAATTACAAACAAAAAGTATAACCAACTAAAGCTTTTAGAACCGAAATAAATGTTGTTAGTTTAATAAAATCAATCTATAAAAATATCAGAGTGCACCGGAGTCGCGCAAAAAGAGGGTGACAAATGCAAGAGATGTTCACATGAAAACAGTTCATTTGAGTGTTTTTAGTTTTGGAAAGAAAACAAAAATTTTGCGTGATCACCGAAATAATGGTAACAGACACACAAAAGTGTCGAAGAACCAACATACAACGCATGCGACCATGGAGCAGCCGGCAGCGCGTAAGTCTCATAATCTTAAGGTCGTGAGTTCAAGCCTCACTGGTCGCAGTTCAAGAAGAAAAGTTTACTTGCTTTAAATCCAACTATACAATATTATAAAAAAAAGCAAAACTACAAACAAAAAGTATAACCAACTAAAGCTTTTAGAACGAAAATAAATGTTGTTAGTTTAATAAAATCAATCACAAAAAATATCAGATTGTACCGCAGTCGCGCAAAAAGAGGGTGCCAAATGCAAGAGATGTTCACATGAAAACAGTTAATTTGAGTGTTTTTAGTTTTGGAAAGAAAACATAATTTTTGTGTGATCAACGAAAAAATAGTAACAGACACACAAAAGTGTCTAAGAACCAACAGACAACGCATGCAACCATGGCGCAGCCGGCAGCGCGTAAGTCTCATAATCTTAAGGTAGCGAGTTCGAGCCTCACAGGTTGAAGTTCAAGAAAAATTTTTCCTTTGCTTTTTCAACAAATTATGAAATATCAAAAAACAAGAAAAAATAACAAGCAAAATTTATCATCAACCAACGCGTTCAGAACCAAATTGGTTGTTGTTAGTTCAATTGAAAATCAACCCATTAAAAATATCAGATTTTTCCGCAGTCGATGCAAGAGATCTTCACATGAAAACAGTTCATTTTAGTGTTTTTATCTTCGGAAAGAAAACTAAATTTTTGTGTGATAACCGAAATAATGGTAACAGACACACAAGAGGTAGAAGAACCAACATCCAACGCACGCGACCATGGCGCAGTCGGGAGCGCGTAAGTCTCATAATCTTAAGGTCGTGAGATCGAGCCTCACTGGTCGCAGTTCATGAAGAATAATTTTACTTGCTTTATATCCAAATATACAATTTTATTAAAAAAGAAAAAATTCAAACAAAAAGTATAATCAACTAAAGCTTTTAGAGCCGAAACAAATGTTGTTAGTTTAATAAAATCAATCTATAGAAAATATCCGAGTGCACCGCAGTCGCGCAAAAAGAGGGTGACAAATGCAAGAGATGTTCACATGAAAACAGTTCATTTGAGTGTTTTTAGTTTTGGAGAGAAAACAAAAATTTTGCGTGATCACCGAAATAATGGTAACAGACACACAAAAGTGTCGAAGAACCAACAGACAACGCATGCGACCATGGAGCAGTCGGCAGCGCGTAAGACTCATAATCTTAAGGTCGTGAGTTCGAGCCTCACTGGTCGCAGTTCAAGAAGAAAAAGTTTTCTTGCTTTATATCCAACTATACAATATTATAATAAAAGAGAAAAACTACAAACAAAAAGTATAACCAACTAAAGCTTTTAGAACCAAAATAAATGTTGTTAGTTTAATAAAATCAATCCACAAAAAATATCAGATTGTACCGCAGTCGCGCAAAAAGAGGGTGCCAAATGCAAGAGATGATCACATGAAAACAGTTCATTTGAGTGTTTTTAGTTTTGGAAAGAAAACAAAAATTTTGCGTGATCACCGAAATAATGGTAACAGACACACAAAAGTGTCGAAGAACCAACAGACAACGCATGCGACCATCGAGCAGTCGGCAGCGCGTAAGACTCATAATCTTAAGGTCGTGAGTTCGAGCCTCACTGGTCGCAGTTCAAGAAGAAAAAGTTTTCTTGCTTTATATCCAACTATACAAAATTATAAAAAAAGAGAAAAATTACAAACAAAAAGTATAACCAACTAAAGCTTTTAGAACCGAAATAAATGTTGTTAGTTTAATAAAATCAATCTATAAAAAATATCAGATTGTACCGCAGTCGTGCAAAAACAGGGTGACAAATGCAAGAGATGTTCACATGAAAACAGTTCATTTGAGTGTTTTTAGTTTAGGAAAGAAAACAAAATTTTTGTGTGATCACCCAAATAATGGTAACAGACACACAAAAGTGTCGAAGAACCAACAGACAACGCAAGCGGCCATGGCGCAGTCGGCAGCGCGTAAGTCTCATAATCTTAAGTTCGTGAGTTTGAGCCTCACGGATCGCAGTTCAAGAAGAATAATTTTACTTGCTTTATATCCAACTTTACATTACAAACAAAAAGTATAACCAACTAAAGCTTTTAGAACCGAAATAAATTTTGTTAGGTTAATAAAATCAATCTATAAAAAATATCAGATTGTACCGCAGTCGCGCAAAAAGCGGGTGGTGACAAATGCAAGAGATGGTCACATGAAAACAGTTCATTTGAGTGTTTTTAGTTTTGGAAAGAAAACAAAATTTTTGTGTGATCACCGAAATAATGGTAACAGACACAGAAAAGAGTAGAAGAACCGACAACCAACGCACGCGACCATGGCGCAGTCGGCAGCTCGTAAGTCTCATAATCTTAAGGTCGTGAGTGCGAGCCTCACTGTTCGCAGTTCAAGAAGAAAAATTTTACTTGCTTTATATCCAACTATACAATTTTATATAAAAAAAAGAGAAATTACAAACAAAAAGTATAACCAACTAAAGCTTTTAGAACCGAAATAAATGTACTTAGTTCAATAAAATCAATCTATAAAAAATATAAGATTGTACCGCAGTCGCGCAAAAAGAGGGTGAGCAATGCAAGAGATGTTCACATGAAAACAGTTCATTTGAGTGTTTTTAGTTTTGCAAGGAGAACAAAATTTTTGTGTGATCACCGAAACAATGGTAACAGACACTCAAAAGTGTCGAAGAACTAACAGACAACGCATGCGACCATGGCGCAGTCGGCAGCGCGTAAGTCTCATAATCTTAAGGTAGTGAGTTCGAGCCTCACAAGTTTTAGTTCAAGAAAAAAAAATTTTTTCTTTTGCTTTTTCAACGAATTAAGAAATATAAAAAAAACAAGAAAAAACCAACAAGCAAAATTTATCATCAACCAACGCGTTCAGAACCAAATCGGTTGTTGTTAGTTCAATTAAAAATCATCCCATTAAAAATATCAGATTTTTCCGCAGTCGCGCAAAAAAAGGGTGACAAATGCAAGAGATGTTCACATGAAAACAGTTCATTTTAGTGTTTTTAGTTTCGGAAAGAAAACTAAATTTTGTGTGATAACCGAAATAATGGTAATAGACACAGAAAAGAGTCGAAGAGCTAACATACAACGCACGCGACCATGGCGCAGTCGGCAGCGCGTAAGTCTCATAATCTTAAGGTCGTGAGTTCGAGCCTCACTGGTCGCAGTTCAAGAAGAATAATTTTATTTGCTTTATATCCAACTTTAAAAATTTAGAAAAAAAAGAGAAAAAATTACAAACAAAAAGTATAACCAAATGAAGCTTTTAGAACCGAAATAATTGTTGTTAGTTTATTAAAATCAACCTATAAAAAATATCAGATTTTTCCGCAGTCGCGCAAAAAGAGGGTGACAAATGCAAGAGATGTTCACATGAAAACAGTTCATTTTAGTGTTTTTAGTTTCGGAAAGAAAACTAAATTTTGTGTGATAACCGAATTAATGGTAACAGACACAAAAAAGAGTCGAAAAACTAACAGACAACGCACGCGACCATGGCGCAGTCGGCAGCGCGTAAGTCTCATAATCTTAAGGTCGTGAGTTCGAGCCTCACTGGTCGCAGTTCAAGAAGAATAATTTTATTTGCTTTATATCCAACTATAAAAATTTAGAAAAATAAGAGAAAAATTACAAACAAAAAGTATAACCAACTGAAGCTTTTAGAACCGAAATTAATGTACTTAGTTCAATAAAATCAATCTATAAAAAATATAAGATTGTACCGCAGTCGCGCAAAAAGAGGGTGAGCAATGCAAGAGATGTTCACATGAAAACAGTTCATTTGAGTGTTTTTAGTTTCGGAAAGAAAACTAAATTTTGTGTGATAACCGAAATAATGGTAATAGACACACAAAAGAGTCGAAGAGCTAACATACAACGCACGCGACCATGGCGCAGTCGGCAGCGCGTAAGTCTCATAATCTTAAGGTCGTGAGTTCGAGCCTCACTGGTCGCAGTTCAAGAAGAATAATTTTATTTGCTTTATATCCAACTTTAAAAATTTAGAAAAAAAAAGAGAAAAAATTACAAACAAAAAGTATAACCAACTGAAGCTTTTAGAACCGAAATAATTGTTGTTAGTTTATTAAAATCAACGTATAAAAAATATCAGATTTTTCCGCAGTCGCGCAAAAAGAGGGTGACAAATGCAAGAGATGTTCACATGAAAACAGTTCATTTTAGTGTTTTTAGTTTCGGAAAGAAAACTAAATTTTGTGTGATAACCGAAATAATGGTAACAGACACAAAAAAGAGTCGAAAAACTAACAGACAACGCACGCGACCATGGCGCAGTCGGCAGCGCGTAAGTCTCATAATCTTAAGGTCGTGAGTTCGAGCCTCACTGGTCGCAGTTCAAGAAGAATAATTTTATTTGCTTTATATCCAACTATAAAAATTTAGAAAAAAAAGAGAAAAATTACAAACAAAAAGTATAACCAACTGAAGCTTTTAGAACCGAAATAAATGTACTTAGTTCAATAAAATCAATCTATAAAAAATATAAGATTGTACCGCAGTCGCGCAAAAAGAGGGTGAGCAATGCAAGAGATGTTCATATGAAAACAGTTCATTTGAGTGTTTTTAGTTTCGGAAAGAAAACTAAATTTTGTGTGATAACCAAAATAATGGTAACAGACACAGAAAAGAGTCGAAGAACTAACATACAACGCACGCGACCATGGCGCAGTCGGCAGCGCTTAAGCCTCATAATCTTAAGGTCGTGAGTTCGAGCCTCACTGGTCGCAGTTCAAGAAGAATAATTTCATTTGCTTTATATCCAACTATAAAAATTTAGAAAAAAAAGAGAAAAATTACAAACAAAAAGTATAACCAACTGAAGCTTTTAGAACCGAAATAAATGTACTTAGTTCAATAAAATCAATCTATAAAAAATATAAGATTGTACCGCAGTCGCGCAAAAAGAGGGTGAGCAATGCAAGAGATGTTCACATGAAAACAGTTCATTTGAGTGTTTTTAGTTTTGGAAGGAGAACAAAATTTTTGGGTGATCACCGAAACAATGGTAACAGACACTCAAAAGTGTCGAAG